TTATAATTATTAATTATTTAGGCTATCAAGTTCTCGCGATCATTGTTCGCCTTTTGATGATAGTTCTTAAATGTTGTAGTCTAAGTAAATTTTTGGAAGTTTTTATGCTCGGCTGAATCATGTTCATGAAAGGCTTGGCAAACGAAGCAAACCCAACTGGTGTTACGTCATTCCATCCATATAAGCATTAAGTTTTAAAACCCTATATGCAAAAGCAACAACAAGCAACAAAATACAATATACACTTAAAAACAAAAAGAGAGACAAGTTTGTTTTATTTTTTAAATATTCTATTAATTATCCAGCGAAATCATATCATATGCTTAAACTTATCTTAATCAAAAGTTAAAGCAGTGTCTCGAGTTCCGTTTGGTTGATGGAAATGTCTTTCACATGCGTCAGAATTCGCAAGGCTCAGACTATAAATACAAAACGCAGATTAAAAGTGGGCAACAAGAAATTGAAGACAAGCGAAAACTTGATTATGAATGCGAATAAAAAAAAAAAAACAAATTAAAGATTGATTTAATGCATAATTTTAGTACTTGGACTTGGACCTTTAACCCAGCATATATGCCTGGCACGTAGTCACGTATCATTTTTTTGGAGCTCTATTTAATTTTGTTAAACAGTGTAATGGAAGAGCAAAATCAACAAAAACAACATTAGCGTAGACTTCTGGAATAAAAAAAAGGAAAGAACAAACAAACAAACAAGAGCGTGGTGCTTAACGGAAACCTAAACATACGCACTCGCAGCCAGACACCCACACATCTATGTATTTATACACCCACTCATATACACACACAGGCAGACAATCCGCACACACATGCACATGCCGCCAGCCGCTGCAATGAAACTTGAGCGAAAAGTTAAGCGGAGCTTGTCAAGTTTTTTAGCTTTCACCGAAAACGTAAAATTAATTTTGTCGTGGCAGCAACGTCAGTCTACATGCAGTAAGCAGCATGCAGCATGTAGCATGCAACATGCAGCATGTAGTAAGCATCTTCATTTTTGGCATCAAGTGTTCTGTTGACATTGATGCCTTGATTGCAACAAACGTTGGCAGTCATTGCGGACGCTGCATCAACAGACGAACAGCTCTCACTCTCCCTCTCTCTCTTCCTCTCGCTCTCACTCCGTCTGACTCACTCGCTCTTGTTGTTTGGCTACATGTAAAGGGCTACGAAATTGAAATATTAATGCCGGGCTGACAGTTAACAACTTCGGTGACAGTACAACAAGCTGCCGTCCAAGTGCAGTGTAAACATTTTGCACATTGTCTCGACACGGGCTGAACGTGCCAGAGGTGTGGCATGGGTGGCCTGGATGGGTGCCAGGGGTGACACGGGTCATGAGTATGCCAAATCCTAACAGCAAACAGTTAATACAACTGCCAGCAGCAGCAACAGTCAAAGCTAACATTGAACAACAACAGCAACACAACAGAGCAGAGTAGAAGCAGCAACAACAACAACAGCAACTGCAACTGCAGCTTGAGTCGAGTACGAAATAATTTTAAATTACTAAATCATTATTCGAATTTGAGCACGCTGTCAGGCGTATACAATAAATGAATAATAGCAGCATATAATGGAAAACCCTGAAAATGCTCATTTAAGCTATAATAGTTTTAGGAAAATGCAGCAGGCTAAAGTGGGCGTGGCAGAGTCAGGGTTAATCAAGTTGAATAATTGATTCATTCAGGTTTACTCGAGAAATTACGCTTAATATTTATCAAGCTCAATTTGTCATATTGCAATATATATACAGTGAGTAACTTTAATATTCGTTCTTTTTATTTGTCAAATTTAAATGTTTATAATTGAAATTAATAAAGTGTAAATGCTAAATTGTCGATTGAAAAATAACCTTTCCGATGAGGTATATATCAATATAGTATATTTAACATAACTAACAAAGATAAACCGGAAGAAAAGTTAAAAAAACAAAACTAATATTAATGTTACTCACTGTATATATGTATATATGTTGTCTATGTAGAGTAGATCCTCTCTTTAGGCTAATGGAATTTGTGAGAGAATTTATTCTAAATACATCGTTATAACTTTTTGGTTTCTTTAAAAAGGGGCGTGACAAATTCCAGTCTAATATCGAAGAAACAATAAGAGAGTAGAGTTCAGGGTAGAGTTTAAGGTCTTTTAAGGTAGAGCTCTCCCACTGAAAAGACTTTTGTATTTTACGCAGGTAGAGCTCTTATTATGATATTCTATTGAAATAGAAGTATGTAGCGCATGCATACGCAGAATAGAGGGTAGCTTAATATGTGAGTAAACTTATTTAAAGAGCTACTTTATTCCGTCTGCAAATTGTGCTGGGCAATCATGTTTGAGTTGACTTGTCCCAACTATGAAATCATCAGAATTTCGTCCATGTTCAATACATACATACATACATATGTATATTGAAAACTCTGAACACACACATTGAAAGTGGGAACTGAGGATGTGTTGTAGCTTGATTGAAGTAAATGTATAGTTTAAAGTAAAGGCAGAATATAAGAAAAGGTATAATTTTAGGAAAATATATGCAGCAGGCAGTAAGAGGCGTGGCAGGAGCATGCGTGATATAGCTTAATTATTCAAATAGTAGTGCAGGGCTCTGAGTAGTTGCAAGTCACTTGTATATGTTTGTCTTCTAGACATTTGATTGCGATATAGTATTATATATATAGGATATCTAAATATACCTTTTGGCTGACTACACGCTAGTAATTTCACTCAGTTCCTAGCTCTCTCTCCACAGTCTGCACAGCAGTGAATTAATTTTGAGGGCAATTTTATGCCGTCTGCAAATTGTGCTGGCCAAACATGTGTGAGTTGACTTGTGCCGCATGTCAAATGATTGGGCCTACGAGCATGTTCAATGCATAGCCTGGCCATAATTTGTGCCCCGGCCAATCGAGGACGCTGTCGGCCATGGGCCCGTCCAGGCCACCCACTTAACGATATTGCAGAGACATTGCAGAGGCGAGTCACAGCCGTCGTCTCTTTATTAGTTCAAAAATAAATCAGCAGCCCAAATAGAGAACATGCTCGTGTCATGTTGGAAATTTATAGTGCGGCCAGCAGCAGCACAACCAGACGCTGACGATGCGTATGTGTGCAATAAATAAGCAAACATTTTTTTTTTTTTTTGTATATATTTTTTTTTTTGAGTATTGCAAAAAATTACGCATACGCAGCGTTGGCCTAAATCGAAAGATGTACTAAATACGACAAGGAGTGAGATAGAGAGGGAGTCGCAGAGAGAGAGAGAGAGAGTGGGAGTCAGAGAGAGAGAGAGGGAGTCAGAGTGAGAGAGAGAGAGAGAGGGAATCAGAGAAAGGGAGAGAGGTTAGCGTGTTCGCATCGTTTTCTAATACAATATATTGTTCTTTACTGATACATTACTAATGAATTGGCGCTGTGCTGAGAAATGATTGAATGTTTTCAAGATTCGTGCTATGATGGTATGGATTGTGTTATCAGGTAATTCGAAAGCAAAAAATTTAATTTTTCGTTATTATTTTTTCTCCAGTTGATTTTTTACTCCTATAAATTATCTTTTGTCTATTAAACCTTTTCAAAATATATTTTTGCATAAGCTTTGCTTAAGGAAAAATTTGTATTATTATATTAATATAAGCTTTGTTTA